TGGGTTCTTGAACCAGGAGCGACCCGGTACACATGTTTAAATCCTTTCCGAGCCAAAACCTTGTCCCCCTTGCCCTCAAGTCTGAATCCAGTCTCGTCCAAATTGAAAACCCTGTTTTCATGTCCTGGTTCCATCAGCAGGTGAATGGCTTGCTCTTCCCTCAAAAAAGTCGTAATGTCATCAAACCATGTCAGGATGGTGCTTTTGGAGACAAGGGCTCTGTCTGGATGCAGGAGCGAAGCTGTACGTAATGACAGCTTCGGGTGCCGATTCAAAAAACCGGACATCCATTGTTTTGAGGTCAAATTTGCCCCCAATTGACGTTTCTGACGAAGGTCATCATCCAGCTCTGATATTATTTGATTTACTAAGAATACGACGTCATACTTAGTAGGTGGGAACCTGTAAGCAAAATTTTACGCTAATATTTGCCATTTGCCTTATCTTTATTTGCTTTTTAATCAATTTTGCTTGCATCGTCTTACCCTCTCTTGGTCTCTGTAATCACGTGGCCTTCAAGCATGCTTTCTTCGGCCACGGTTACAGCAGGTTGCCTGCCGCTGTGCATGTGCTGCACACGGCCAGACACATGGTCATATACAGTGGAGGCAGGCACTCTGTGCATTTTTCCTGCTTCCTTCGGCCCATACTTTCCAACCTTTACATCGTTAATTGCAGCCCTCAAGCTTTCTTCAGAATAAGTATCCTTGCGTTTCCTTCCCTTCTTTCTGGAAGGCAGCCTTGACACTTGATCCTTCATACTGATGAAATGAGAAGTGACTTTAATTGAATGTCAATCATGAAAGGCATCGTGTTTCCAGCATATTTTAGGTACCGATCCTGGGTTAGAATTCGAAGCTGAGCGTTTCAAATGCAAACTTGTTTCCTCCCCCTACTAAAATGTCAGCTGATTTTCATTTTTAGGGTTTTTACAGCCAGATAGTGATGCCACTTTCACAGCACAGTCCATTTACATTATTTGTCTCTTCCTGTTTCCATGAGCATAAGGGAACAGCCCGGCCTATCCCGAAATGCCTTTAGGAGAAGCTCTATTCAGACAGTCCAACTGAAAGGGGAGATTTGGCACCCGGAGTCGCTGTCTTAATTATTCAGCGCATGTATTGGCGGGAAGTACTTAATAGTTTTTCTTTCCTTCAGCCAATTGGGACTTTGGATTGCCCTATCTGCTTCCATGTTACGTATAGTAGGGCCACTCTTGAGGCTGACACTGAAATGAATAACGACACTAATGACGCTGTCATGTGGATGATGAAAAATACCCTTTTTTTCCTTTGCGGCTATACAGCAAGCCCTCAAATTCATGTGGCTGGGGTAATATAAAAAAGGGACATCGATTATTTTCCGCCTTAGCACTCCTCTCAGGATCCTGAGTCTCTTTTGTTCTTGATGTGGAGGCCCTAGGACAGGGCTTCCCAATAATCTTTCACGCGCGACCCCAAGCACTGGCCGAAGTTAGACAGGCTCCCCCATCCATGCACTAAAATCGCAAAGAAAAATGTAACCTTGCATTTAGTTGCCGTTTCGCGACCCCTGGGTTGGGAAGTCCTGCCCTAAGAGACCGCTTTAGATCACAGTGCTTCAGTTCCCAGCCAACTGCATTTGCAGTTCGTTCGATTAATTTGGGCCCTGAGAAGTTCTTCCAGAAAGCGTCTCTATGAGAGATAATGCTGAGATAATATTTTATGATACCTTTATGAACCCCTCCTCCCCCGCCCCCTGAACATGATGATAGATGGGGGCGGCAAAATTTTCTGGTGTCAGCCTAAAGTGTGACACGACTATACAACGTTAGGGTTGTGGCGGAGACATTGGGTGACACCGGATCCGTTTAAGCTAAACTAGCCTGATCTCACAATGGTTCCCTATGAGAATCAGTTTAACAGAGATAAACCTATTCCCATAGACGCCCATTACGAAAACAATTTAGTTTAAAACTTAAAAAAATCTGGTGCATGTCATCCGTAATCGCTCTCCTTAGCATGCAAGGCCAATGAGGCCCTGAAAAAATTCTACTTTGTTCTCGCGGGACATTATTTTTTCTCGGTCTCGTCAAGCATCCCTCTAATTCTCTAGTATTCGAGATGCCCGGAAACATAAAGTGACATGCACCAGAACGGTTTAGCTTAAACTGATATGATTGCATAATGGGAGTTTACAGGAATTAGGTTATCTCCGTCAAACGAATTCTCATAGAGGACCATTGTGAGATCAGATTAGATGAAACAGATCTGGTGCGTGTTAGCCATAGTGCTCCTCTGCAAATAGTGCACTAAGCTACGGACGAAGTAGACAAATAAATGCTGCAATTTCCCAGCATAATTTGATGCCTCTGAAAAGTATCACCAAGAGGGAAATTCAAAAAGGGGACTAGCTGGATGTTGCTCGGCAGTCAAACTTGATTGGAATATCCATGGCCCTTGATAAAGATCATAGGCTGACTATAGAAAGAAGGATGTACGGCAAGCACCACCAGAGACACATAAGAATGTGTTGCACATAATGTTGTACATAAGAATGCAGAATTCCCGACCTTAGGCGTGTGCTTCACTTGCCTATGCCTGCGAGTAGGGGTCGACTTTCAGAGACCCTCACCGCGATTCGATCCAGAAAACCGACCCTCTAAAATATGGAATCCCAAGAACATAAGGATGTAACCATTTCTTACAGCATACTCTTCAGTTACCTTAGAACACAATATTTACGACCATCGACGCCTAGAGCCACCAGTAAGTACCGCAACATAATATATACCAGGGACATTCGTAACCATGTTCTCAGCGTGCCTCACTTAAAGTAAGAACGATGAAATTTAAGGAGCTCGTATCCGGTTGACTATACGGATTAACAACGATGCATTCTCTGTGAGACACCTTTTAAGCTTCGCTTAAAACACGGATTCGACGACGAAGACACAGAGTATGTCATTATTATGGCGAGGTCTATGAAGTGAACCGGAATTCCGTCCAAATTCGCACACGAAGTCAGTCATCAGCACGTCAAGAACATGGAAACCACCACCATCCCAAAATCCGTCATCAGTCATGTCTCGCTCTTGTCCACGCGGCTTTAAAAAGGCTAGCAGGGTAGGTCATACTGGTCAACACGACTCCTCCCCCCTTTCTGCCGAGTCTATCCTTCCGCAAGATGTCGTACCCATCGATCTCGATTTCCATATCGGAAATGTGAGAACCTTCCCAAGTCTCGGTTATTCCGATGACATCGAAACCCTTGTCAAGTGCCCTCCCCCTAAGTTCATCTATTTTATTACGTAAGCAGCATGCATTCACGTACAGTGGCGTAACTAGGTAATTTGCCGCCCGGGGCGAGTGACTGTTACTGCCGCCCCCATGGTCCAGCCCCCCCCCCCCCCTTGCTAATTGTCATTTTCACATGCACACACGTTTTACTGGAGAATGAGATTCATTAAATATTTCTGCTATTCAGGACTGATTTTCAGAATAAATAATATAATCAAAATTAATTCTTACAAACAAACGACTGCAATCAAAATTCAGCCCTTCTTACTGGCTGCAAAATCTTTAATAACTTCGCTGAAATCAATTAAAGATGCAACTTGATGTTCGATTGACAGGATAGCAAGATTTGTAAGTCTTTCTTGAGACATTGTAGATCGCAGGTACGACTTAATCAGCTTTATTTTGCTGAAAGATGACGTTTGCCGCCCTTAGTTCAGAGGGCGGCAAACGGGAAAAAATCGCAAAATCGTCAAAATGGGCATTTTGCCAATGGGCGGCAAAATGGGCAAATTGAAAAGAATTTCCGAAATTTTCCTACTTTGAAACAACAATATTTTTGAAAGGCTATTTTGCCGCCCTCTAGACTGTGGCGCCCCCCCCCCCCCTAGTTACGCCATTGTTCGCGTAGAAACACTTGACTCTACCCTGCCTTTCCTGTACACCAGTCCATCCCCAGCCATCGGACTTCTACAGCGACTCAAAGCCTCCCTAGTGTCCAGAAGCACTGCCCCCTCCGCGATACATAACTCCTTCAACCTGTCGTTAACCCCTTCCGACTTGGACCACGAGATTCCTCCCTTGTCTAGCCGGCTCGGGATCGCGCATACCGTCGCCCGCACCCCTGACCTTGCCTCCTGACATGCCCTAATCGCCTGCCTCAGCCTCCCCATGATGATTTCAGAGCCAGACTTGGTAGTATCGTTGGTCCCTACGTGAAGGACCACCGACATCTCCTTGGCTGACTTGGAGCACACAACCGATCCGATACTATCCCTAATGTATTCAATCCTAGCACCGGGAAACTGACTGAATGACACCTGAGCTCCTGAATCTTTTTCCGTCTCTCCCTCAAGACGCCTGACGTTCGAGTCATTGACGATTACAAGGGCCCGAGTTTTCCTTTTCCCTTTCAACACGGCCTGAGCTTGTCCTGCCGACCTCACACCTTTTCCCACCCCGCCCTCCGTTCCCTCATCCAAACTGACCTCCCTCAAACCGAGAAACTTGTTTTCGGTCTTAATGACTGCCTCCTGGGATCGCTTAACCGCAGAAGAGTTAAGCGGTCCCTTTCAACATGACCTGAGCCTGTCCCGCCGACCTCACACCTGTTCCCACCCTGCCCTCCGTTCCCTCATCCAAGCTGACCTTCCTCAAACCGAGAAACTTGTTTTCGGTCTTAATGACTGCCTCCTGGGATCGCTTAACCGCAGAAGAGTTAAGCGGAAGAGTTAAACCTGGATCAATTAGAAATGTGAATAAGGGCAGCAAGAAAGTGTGGAAATGGAAAAAGGAGATCCTGCTTGCTCGGCATCCCTGGTAAGGCGTTTGAAGGTTCGCGGGACACATAACCAAGAAGGCTCCTTTCTTTCTTAACCCATGGCTTTATTGTGCTCATTAGTTGAGAACAAAGGACGTAGAGGGGGATCCCAGTATGACCTACCCTGCTAGCCTTTTTAAAGCCGCGTGGACAAGAGCGAGACATGACTGATGACGGATTTTGGGATGGTGGTGGTTTCCATGTTCTTGACGTGCTGATGACTGACTTCGTGTGCGGTATTGACCCTGCGTTGAGCCCTGCGGAATACAAAGAGTAGAATGAACCCATGTGCTAGACGTGGCTGATGTATTTAGGGCGGCCTATTGAATGGGAAAATCAAGTTCTCAACACATAGTTGCGGTTTTTGCTTTTCTGTACTTTGCCTAGGCCTAAGTTTTTATTAAACATTGATTTCAAGTTTCATACCTCATTGGGAGCATGATGCCCTTCGATGAGGAACAATATACTTGACTGTTATGAATATGTATTCAGCATTGACAAATACAAGACAGAGGTAACATAGTTATAAAATTTATGCTTGATGAGCATTGAGCATACAAGAACTCCAAGGAAGAATTTAGGGATATCATTAAATCTCTATAATCTGAGTCAAGTAAAGACTAAACATTTTTTGACAATGAAAATACTGGTGGCATTGGAGCCTGGAGTCAGCATCCTGCTATATATTTATTTTTCACACTGTTTTTGAGTTGAATAGTGAACCCAATAGTGGAAAATGGAGAAAGCACAAGATATTGAGACATTCTGCTGTGCCAATCTTGCTGCACTGCATGGTTGTCAGATTGTCATCTGTGATGGAGCTTTTGGGATTAACGTTGAGCATGAAAGAGTCCCTTCACTATCTTTGAAATCCAATGAATTTGGTGAATGGGAACTAGTGAAAAATCATTTGATGGATTATGAATGAGGAACAGAAAAAATAAGAGCAAGAAATTGTGGTTTTCCAAGAGAACAAGGAAAGGGGAAGTGATTGAAACTACCCATGCCACTGGAGGCAGAGATGAGTTTCCCCAGCTTCAGTTCAGTGTTTTTTCCTCATCTTTTCTGAGTTTGCATTAATGGGTTCGTGCCCTGCAAGATCAAATGTGTTTTTCTGAAGGTGATGTCTATTGGCCAAGCTGGCTCGGCACTGACTTAAGGGACGAGCTGGAAAGTCACCTAAATCGTGACATCTCAGTTGATGAGACCAATACCCTGTAAAAGAGAGCTCAGACAATAAGTTGTGGCCAAGCTGGCTTTCTGAAGTGGAAAAGAATTTGTAAGGTTAGGCCTAAGTCCTGAAAGATGTTTATTCCAGAGTGATAGCTTTCATCATATTACTAGTGCCCTATGCATCTTTTTCAGCAGCTTTAAAAGAAGAGTAACTATTAAGATGCAGGATTATACAAAGTCTATATAGTTTGGGTGGAGGGCTCACCCAAGGCCTTAATTTTGCAAAAAGTGCCCTCAATGGGTGATTTCAAAAGTTGACTTAAATTTACCGACTTTCCAGCACAAGACATCTTAAATTAGTTAAGTTGCATGTCATCTGTTTCCTAACCTGACACGATAGACCTTTTAAACAACCATGATATACTACAATAATGAAGAGCTGTCTAGTTTTGTGCAGACAAGGTGGAATTGATTGCTGAAAGTCTTCCCACAAAGCAAACGAAGCAGTTTCCTCTACCTTGCAAGACATGCTTGTATTTGTTGGGCTGCAGGAAACAATCATGTAAGTAGTGATGTTAGAGATTGTTCTTCCCAGCTTTGCCTTGAAGTCAGGGCCATGCCAGCTCGGCCAATAGACACTGCCTTTTTGAAACCTTAGAAGGAAATTATCCAGTTCTCAAGATATCGTGATTGTGTACAAGGGAGTCACATCCTTGAACATCGCTGCATGTCATCTAACATTAGCTATGTGACAAAAATTGGAGCCTCCAGGCCTCTGAGGAGGAAGCGGCTTCAAGAATCATGCTAGCAAGAACTTGCCTTTTGCATCAGGGCCTTAAGGGGTTCCCAATTCAAACCAAAAGCAGTGTAGGATACACATTTTCAGAGAAATCTCTATGTTATTGCAGAGGAACACCTATATCACTAACTTTTTTCTTGGAGATAATATCCAACATTTGTTCTATTCACTTCATCACTGATGCCTAGGGCAGATCCCAAAGTAATTCAGATAAGTCAGAGTAGGAGTAAAGAGGGTAAGAAGTGAGACAGGATTTAATGTAATTTAAGTAGGTTCTGGGAGAGAGCAAACTGTGGGACTTGATTATAGAAAGTCTAGCCAATTGGTAGCATGTGTTTCTATGTAAATGATGATCCTGGGGCCTTTTGATGGCGTGATTTTGGGGTCAAAGACTAATGCCCATACAAGTCCGTACAAACTTCCCACTCGTCCATGCAACATATGTTCACTCAGTATCTTTGACACTTCATTCCTCAATACAGAAATTTGAGTCCAGCAAATTACGCCTTTAACAGGCAAGTACTTTCCAAGATGTGGTCGGGGCCACTCTTTGGCAATTGAACTTGTAGGTCTAGAGCGAAAATTTCAAGACTGATCCTGAGGTGCCACTGGTCTCGTCTTGTGCTGCTACCAAAATGTCTCCAGACACCAAGGGTGGCAGACTGGATGAGTGGCGAGAATTGACTTGGAAAAGTCTACCCAACCGATATCTATCAACTAGGTGACTACAGCTGCTATGTTGGTCGTCTGATGGGCAGAAATTTGAAAATGTTTACATGAAGATATGAAACACTAAACATTTTGGAAGAAACCTTTTTAAAGTAGATAAAAAGGTAAACCAATGTTTTTATGGCTATGAATGGCATGGCATTGTAGGCCTAGTGCATTAGGGGTGCTAGCCACCACAACTTTCTACCTCTTTCAATTAAAGTATAAGATGAGTGTGCAATGGGCATGTCTTCTTTGTGCCAAGTGTTTTGAGAGTGTAAATTCTTGAAAAATTTGTCAAACTTTCAGTGATGGACATGGCTAGATCGTAGAGATATTAGCCTAGATAATAAAGACCTGAAGAAGTGAAAGTCATTATTTAAAAACTTTTGTAGAAGAATTTACAGGATGCAAGACATTTTAAAGGGGTTAAAATGCAAATTACAGGTTTTTGAAGAACCAGTAAATAAGATGCTTTGCCATTTGTGGTTAGTCCCCCTACTAGAATTTCATGAGAAAGTTGTGTCTGGAACAGAGCATAAAAAATGAATAAGAGATCATACCTAGATGGAAGAGAATATATTATTTTGCCCAAATAGGCTAATACAAACTTAAGGGATTGACAGACATGATTTAGATGATCATTGGAGACCAAGGTAGATACTGAGATAACTTGACTGTGCTTATGTCAACAGCATCTCACCTCCTTGGGAGTGATTCATTATGCTGTGTTATGCATCATGACATATAACAGTTAGTTGATGGTGTTGAAGTAACCATGGGAAGCAGTTGGAAAATTAATTTCTATACTTTGTTTCCATTTCAGTATGCTCTCTCCCTGGAAAACTTGTCATTGCTTTTGCCTCCACATTAAGGAACTACATTTTTTATAATGAAATTTAAGGCTTGAATCAGCTGATGTTCCCATCTTAATCTCATTCATGTCACTATCATCAGTGATCCTCAAGTTGTGCTGGAATAAGTATAAGAGAAATCAAGGTGTGTGAATAAAAATCCACTTTTATGTTCAGTTTGACTGCATGCTTTGTAGCCATAGAACCTCAGACCCATTTCTTTTGGCACTTTTTTTCAATCTCAAAACAACACATGACTGTTTCATTCAGTTCCATGCAATTCATTAATATTCACTTCCTAGTAGTCAGATTACCTGGTGAATTGCCTAATTTCCTTGATTCAGTTTCTTAACAAATTTCACAGCCTATTACCAAATTGTCAAAATCCATTATAAAAATCTTGTACAGAGATGAATTGCTTCCCTTCCCCTTAAATTCTCGTGTTTCATTTTCAACCAACTCAAAGAATGAATTATGAAATAGGTAAAAGGTATTATTATTAGTCATTATTTATCCTGACTAGATCAAATTTTTATTTTGTGAGAAACTTCTGACTTGCTCCCTTTTTCCTTTCCCTGTGGATAGGCAAGAATTGAGCAATTGTGCTTCATTTATACCCATAAATGGAGCACATGGTGATGTACTTATTCATAATACTGGACTTCCTTGGCCTGCTGAGTGTATTTGTATCAGGTAAGATGGCTATGATCCTTCTTTACATTTTGCAGTGATATTGGGGTGACTTAATATATTCCTGTCACCTCAGGTGTTTGGACTCTTAGCATTTACCAAATACCACTTCTCATTATATGTGAGACTGGGAAAACATATTGCATTAACTCATTCAGCATCATCCAGAGTGCACTCATCTTAACAACCACGCTTGGAAAAAATTTTTTTCTCAAAGAGTGTATTGTGAGCTAAATTTGTTGGTGAACTTTTGTTCTTGAACTGCCTCTGCTTTAGGAGGTGGCTAGGCATTATTTCCACCCTATTATTATTGTAACATTTATTTTTTGTCATGCTTGGAAGTGGCAAGCATGCCATCCTGAGAGACAAAATTTAGAATATGTTTGAGATTGGTTCGTTTTCCAACGTGTGACGTGGTGAAAGTGTTATTAGTAATATTGCTGGAGAACAGTTTGCCGTTGTTAGTGTTCAGTCCACTGCTTGTGAGAGTGATGAATCATAATGATCAAAATCCTTCCAGTGCTCAAAACAATTGACATACTAGACCAATGGTTCCGAAATGTGCTACCACTGGTGGTGCACAAAAGGTTTTCAGGAATACTTATTTTTAAAAACTCACACAATATAGTACTAGTCTTATGGCTTCTGTGAGATTTGCATATATTGGACAAGTGGTGGTAGGTTACATATTCCACACAGGTAAGATGTATGCAGAGGTAGAAAGTTTGGGAGTTGGTTTAAGGCCTCCAGAATTCTGAGTTTGTACTTTTAAATTATCCAAAAATGGCACTGCACTCATTACCACTCTACATATTTCCAATCTAAATGGGCAGTCTTTTGTGAAAGTTTTTTCCTGTTTATCTTCAATTGTTTAAGTTTTAAACCTGTTTTAGTGCTCTTGGTACTCGTGACTAAGTTTTTGAAAACATTTGGACACATTGGGGAGTTCTTGTGCATCTTGGCTGGATATTGAAATGGTTAATTAATAAACATGTAATGCTGTGGTTTCTACCATCAAGTCAGTAATCTTATCCTCAGATCACTGTTTGTGTTGAAAATGACTGTGGCTTGTTTCAAGGCATGAAATGGAGAAATAAGAGACTAATTATTTTTGGGGTGTTTTGTTGCAGGGTGTACATTCATTCCTGATCTCGAGGTATCCCTGGAAGCAGATTGCATGCTTCGATATGAGGATCAGGGAGATCTCAAAATACATGCAGCAGTTTTTCCCTCTGATATATCAATTTTTCCCATGATTCGCTTCTCATTCATAGTAATGTTGTGGTTGTTGATATGAGTGTAAGTTCAATCTTGGGTATGTTGGTTAAGCAAGCTATAGCTTAGGTCTTCTTTGAAAGGAGCTAGATTGCTCAAACGATTGAGGCACTATGTGTGCACACATATTCCATGAATGTTGAGTCAATTAAAATATTTTATTAAGAATGTGAAGTAAAAGGCTTTTTTTTTTACATGGAATCAATAAGTTGCAACAATAAGGCACACAATCTTCATGCTTGACATGGGACCTCTTAGAAGCTTGTGTTGAAGTCTGCTATAGTGGCTTTCTATAAAACATTAGAAAGTAACAATTTTGAGGTAGGCTTATGACCTCAAAATTGTTACTGCCGCTCTTTATAGAAGTTCATGAAACCGACTTCGGTGCCATGGTGTCAGCATAACTTTACAAAGACAGGTTAGGGATATAATAAAGGCATTTGTGAAGCATTATAATGGTAAAGTTTACTGAAGTAGATAGAACTAAAATTTAGTTCAGTGATGATTATATTTAATTACATTTCTTAGTGTGATGCTGCTAAGTTCAGAATTCCCTTGCAGATGCCTTCCTCTCAATTAAGCGAGCAGACTGCTGTCTTCATGTATGATGGTGATCAGATGGTCTCCCTTTCAAACCTCACTGCCAATGGGAACCCTGTCTTCCTCAGGACCAGATTTGAGTCCAGCTTCTCCCAGTCCTACCCCAACTGCCAGACCATGTTTATAGAAGTGAGACTTTTATTTTATCATTCTTTTCAGGACGTCTTCTGATAGGTTGTTATTGGGCTCTGTGGGAAGTGGAAGCAAGGAAGCTGGTGTAATAGTTGTATAGTTCCATTAAAAAAGGCATAAGAGGTTTCTATGACTCAAAATGGCAAAGCCAAGTCTCAACAAGTAAATTCTTTCTAGTTATGGAGATTTTGTCACTTTTCAGGGCATAGCACATCTTGCTCAGGTGCCCCCCTACCTGTTGTAGGTTAAGGTGGGGTAAGTGAAACTTGAAAAAAAAACATGATTGTGCCTTTGAAGGATAAAAGAAAAAAAATACTAGAATAATATTGTTGCAAACATTTATTTATGCCCTCTTCAAACAGTAAACAAGAAATTCCAGTGACATTCAGTACTTAAATCGGAATTAATCCTCAGGGAACCTTTTCCTTTAAAGCCTTGTTGCATGTTACTTTTGTGCATTGGAATGGGGTAATAGTAATGTTCCTGAATATGTGCTGTCTGTAGCACTGAGGAGCAAAAGGGATGACTCTAAATGCACAATACAATAATGGATGTATTGAGGAAATTTTCAGTTATTTTAGGCTGCAAATGAGACAATAGGAGCATGTAATGCTGAACCAGCTGCTGGCATTTTCTGCTGATTGCCTGCAGAAATTCTCAAAATTACCTTTGTCTCTTTGGCAGGGTTACTTGGAAGGAAATGAAGGGGCAAGGAGGGTCCAGTTCCTGAAGTCAAGCATCCCATTTTATGGGGAGAAATGGACCCAGTCGAACCCAGAATGCTATAGGGAATCTCTGTTGTGGCTCATTTTAGGTATGAAGTATATTCTGGCGACCTCAAAGTCTGAGAATCGGGAGATTGCAGCTGTTGCAGGTCTTCTGATTTGTGCCACTCTGTATTGGATGAAAGCAGGAAACACCATTAACCCTTTTAACTTCAACACTCAATTTGTTGCATGGGGTTGAGGTTCATAATTGGTTTCACTCAAGCAACCCAGCCAATTTGGATGGAATCACTTTTTTATGGTTTATGGATGTACCATAACCAAAGAAGAATTTGTGCAAAGCTGGATATACATTCATTATTGCCCTGGAAAGACCCATGATGGATTATCATGATTGAGGTTTAGGAAAAGGTCATGCAAAGATGTACAATAGACTTTGATTGAAATGGTGAATGAGTTGGCAAAACTGCCTTTGGAAGCAGTTTAGTCCACTGAGGAGTTTTAATAGAGTTTTAGTTTTTAGTTTCAGAGTTTAAATTTATTGTTATGAAAACAGCAGATTTAACAGCTCTAAAACAACATAGTAGCATGGTTTGTTTTGAGATAAGAAGATAAGGAAACTCATGTAATTGGTGAAGCTTCCTTGCCTCCCTTTTTCTTGAATATTCAGCAAGTCTTTATGGAATTGCTTGATCATGGCATTAAAACATGCCTACATTTTCTTACTCCAGAGTTTTTTCCCTGCATTTGATTGATTAGATCCCTTTTTGAGACTTTTTTTGGCATGCAGATGCTCCTCCTTCCTTCATACTAGTGTGCTTGGTGAGTTTTCTCATTGAAGGTTCACCATGCATCAGTGCTTATGGGTTTATTTGTGCAAACCATTTCAAATTGATCTTAGTCTACAATGGCATTCTTAGCTGGAGTTTTATTAACAAACCAATGTTGACTTGGGTAGTGAATGTGTTAAGCTTGTGTTAAGTTACCCCTTGTTTGGAAATTCATCCTACCTGCAGGTAATAAACAGTGGCTTGTCCAGCTTGATGCATCTGCTGCATTGATTCATTTCCAGGAAGTCTTGGTTTCATTATGTTGCTGGTGCTTGTGGTGCTCTCAATCCTTTTCCATTGTGCTGAGTATAAATGCAAGAAGTCCATGGATATCCTGAGAACACTCACTCCCAGGAATGATGAACCAATTCAGGTCAGACAAACATTTGAACCCAGGTTCATCTTTCTAACTTGTAAATTCATGAAGAAAATTTTCATGTAAGTGATACAGAATAATCATTCAATTTGCTGGGTTTTCAGCAAGAGGTCATTATATAATTGCTCAAATGCTTGATTGTGTCTTGGTCTGCCAGTATAAAGTGTTTTATTTTTTCATTCCTTGTACTTCAATCTTCAAGTATATACCACAACTTACATCCAATAAATACAATAATATTGTGAAGATTGTGACTTTGAAATTGGGAGTCATCATAACCAAGGCAGTATAGTGGATGGCTATTCTTTCTTTGCACCTGCAGCATACTTTGCACTCTTATCATGCATACACTTGTATTATCTTGCTCCCTAGTATTTAGGCTATATCTTCTGTGACAATGCACACAGAGGAGGCACTCTTGTGGCATGGGGTTCACCCAGTTTGGTTTTTCTTGGAACTTCCTCAGATGATATATTCCATTAGTGCCAATTAAATTTGTAGCTCCCTCTTCCCCAGTCCTCCCTCCAGCATGAAAGGGCCAACTCAGAATTGCTGTGGAAATGCTTCAGGGGAGGCCATAGTCACACAACTACAAGATTAAGATCTGTTGGATGTGCAGAGGAATCTTGTGGTCCATGCCTCAGAATGCACTAACTTTGAAAAATTTTTCCATTCATGATGAAATCCAATCATTTCTTATTTTCAATGAGAATAGCTCCTGTTCTTCTATTGTCTACTCACTTCTCTGGGTTCTCCCCAAAAATTAAAAATTGTTAGCTAAGTTTTGCTGACCTTTGACCACATGCAGTTGCATATAACGAGGCACCTGCAGTTTTTCCCTCACTGTCAAAACCATTTTTTTCCCATCACTGGATGGTGAAAAAACTTGTACTATCATCTGGAGAAGCTGTGTGTAGTCTGAGATGTTTCCATTCTCCAGAAGAAGAGACAGGATCAGGCCAGACCCTATATGCCCTTCTCTAATACTTGGAAGTCCATTCTAACACAAAGTCATCCATTACAATCTTTCCATCGTGCGACCTAAAGAAGAAACTGGCAGTTTTGTACGTGGTATAATGATAGTGACTGGTATAGTAAAGTGCTTGGCGAAACATCAAGCAAGATTTACATAAAATTGGATGTGTTCTTGCAAGTAAAGGTATTGGCAGATGGTGCCTTGCAAGATTGGTGCTAAACGGGGTGCCTGTGGTAAGCTGATGGAGAAGATTAATTCTCAGGAAAGAGTTGGTGGTATATGTAGGGTTGACTGTTAAGGTGTTTGTATTTAAATGCAACATAGGGAAAATTTTTACTGTTTGGGGACTTCAGGAAGAGCACCTTGGGTTGCACATCTGTTTGGATAAAAATAGTCTCAGATGTGTTTTCTTGCAGGTATGCAACCCAGTGGGCCTTGTAGTGATAGGCAAACTCCATATTCAAGCAGCAAAATATTTCCTATGTTGCATTTAAATACAAACATCCTGTATACCTAGAACTACTGGACTGGTCAAAATGACTGCTTCATTAATTCTAGCTATAGCATATTCCTTCTCCACTTGCTTTGCAATTCTGGATCTACTTTTTTTTCAGGTATGGAAATGCCATGATGCCCACCTGAAGGAAAGACAATTTCCTGTCTCACTGCGATGGGCCCTGTTTTCTCCTCCTTCAGCCCTGAGTCTGAGGTGTCCCTCAGAGATGAGGGAGTTATGAATTTCATTTCTCTCAATTGATATATTTTTTTATTTTTATGATTTGTAAATAAATTATTTTGAATCTATTGCTCTTCAATTTCCTATCTCAGATGTAACTGAAGAACTTTCTTGAAAGTGAGTTCAAGTTTTCAGAAGTTTGTTGTTGGACAGACTGCCATTTTGCTCTTAAAAAGCATGTGTACTAGGAGTTGAAGTTCTAGGTCCCATAACTGTAGAATAAATAATTAAAACCATTCTTTTACCTAATGAAGCCCATGGCCCTGACAAGATGTACAATAAAGCCCTTCAGAAGGGTACCTTTAAGCATTTTGAGCTTCTTGCTGAACTTTACAACTCTTGCCTTATAGATACTTTCCCCCAGTGTGGAAGGCAGCTTTCATTGCAAAGATCCCCAAGCTGGACCAAGACTTAAGTAAATTATCTTCTCACCAGTCTATTAGCATACTTAGTGTTTTAGGCAAAATCTTTGAGAGAATAATTACCAAGAGGTTAGCTTCTTTCCTAGAAAGTAAGGGGATCCTCCATGCAGCATGGGCTGGCTTTTGTCACGGTAAGTGCACTTAGGACCAGCTTGTCCACCTGCAAAACGATGTCTTAAATGCCACAAATGATAACTGTCCACTACTAGCACTCTTCTTTGATGTAGGGAAGGCATTTAATGAAGTTTGGCATGGGGAGCTACTTTACAATCTTAAATTTTGCATTACCCTTGACCTGGTTGCTTTTATTGAATTGTACCTTAGTGTGACTGCAATCTTAAAGTGCAGAAGATGCAACCTCTCAATCATTTTCAATCTCTGATGGAGTCCCCCAAGGATCAGTTCTTGCTCCTCTCCTCTTTCTCCTGTATGTAAATGATCTCCCACTTTCTCTCAGCCGAGGAATTAACATCTCCCAGTTTGCAGATGATGCTGCAATCTGGATCAGAAGTAACTAGAGAGCAAGGCTGGGCAAGATTCCCTCCTTAACTCAGGAGGCTCTGGATGTGATCCACCAGTATTTTAGTAAGTGGAGAATTTCAATGAATCCCACCAAGTCCACAGCCCTCCTCTTCCCTTTGAATAACCTTCTTGCCCCCCCCCCCCTCCACCTCCAAACTTAACACTTGATGGTCAAGTCATACCCTACACCCCTAATGTTATATTTTGTTATATCTCATGTTTCAGAGTACTAACTTTTACTGGACTAACCACATCCAATTGATAAGAGGTAAAGCTAGATGTAAATTCAACATCCTTAAGTTAATCAGTGGGACCAACAGATGCAATCCGACAACAATATTGCACCTGTAAAAAATATATTAATATGGCTAGTAATCACCTATAGCCATTCTGCCTGGGCCAACTGCTCTGACTGCTTTTTTTGGGTTTACAGAGAGTTGAACCAGGAACCAGGTACTCCCCTGATTTGTCTCAAGAAAGCACATTTACCACCTGTCATAAATAGAACCCATCCTGCAGTATGCCTCAAACCTTGCTATCAGGTACTTTAATGATGCAAAACAGCCTCATGCCATCCATCTGATCAGGTCTCCAACCAATAAGAAATTAGTGTGAAAGAGTAAGAACATATCCTGTGTACAATTTAACACACGGTGCAGAAGATGGTCAGGGCTAACAAGCCCCTTGGCCTTTGTGTCACATCTTACCATCAGGCCTTCCTCATTGTCTCTTATCTTAGTCTCGCTTGTAAATATGCACACACTCACCATCTGACCACCCCACAGGTCGGAGGCTGTGCCCTACGGTGCCGATGTGGATAGTCTGGAACCACTCATGGACAAGAGGACTCCACAACCAACATCTTCCCAGCTGGCAGCCACCCTTCTACCAATCCTAAGCCACTCCCCTACCTCTTAATTGAAGAGTTTGATACCTGTACATATCTGATTTGAACACTTCCTCACTCTGTAAGGGCACCATTGCCTTCAGATGGAACAATCAGCCTTGCTCTTTTGTTGAGCCTACTCCTTGGCAAGTTATTTTCTAATTCCTCTGGGAGAGAATTCAATTTACCGTGAATTCATTGGCGAAAGATGCCGAAACGGCCATTAAAAAACCTTTTTCAAGAAGGGAAGCTTCAATAGGAGGATTCAGAAGAAATGTAATGATCATGGATGGCATGTTTCAAATTTTGAGCACCCTGTAACTTTTGATCTAGCGATGCGATGACGCTGATATTTCGTCTTTCCGGGTTTCGTCGAATAACGGGGTGAAATGGGAAAAAAAAAATCTCATGAAAGTCGGAGAGGGTCGGGTGCTAATTTCCAATTTTTGGGGGCGATTCGTCCTGGAATTACCCATCTGCGAAAGAAAGACTCATCGTCAGCAGTGCTATGAGAAGTATTTGGCCGGTGAGAAACGCAAGAATGTGGTCGCTCTGGATGAACCACCGATCCATCTCTCTGGCTCTTTACCGCGAGGGAGCAAGAAAGTTTCTCCCCTGGATTCTTGATTGTCGCTGCTGCGAGCTACAGAGGGCAAACTGGATCTTCGAAAAGTTGACGAAAAGGGTTTAAAGCAAAATCAGTTCCAAATTCTCTGACGAAAATGTACTGCGGCGCACGTTTCCCCCCCTCGTGTGGAAAAGCGCCCGGCCAAATTCCACCAAGATCTTTGGAAGATTGGAAAAAGATACCGGAATTGCCACCATTCCCCCCTCTCATATCCCTGTGAAACCACCTGACCCTGCCCTGATGGATTTCTGCACGTTTGGAGTCCCCCAAACTGCGCCTTTCTCCTTGTAGGGTGTCACACTGGCCGGTCTATGGAAAGCTTGCAAGGAGAAATGTACATAGTACAAAAAATACATGAAGGATTTAGGGCAAATTGAGAAGTGTGCAAATCACGCTTGAACGAGTCTCATACACAAGTACTGGAATACAAGTACTGGAGTACTGGAATTCCCATAAACATGCTAAATGTTTGCTGTCGAGGGCACAGCCACCTCAACGATTCGTCTGAATTCCTTCGACCGAGGCGATACGGAATGTCGCCATTGCATGCTTGGAAAAATTCAATATCGAAACCGTAGAATGTGCCCCCTGCACGAAAACTTCAGCGCATTACCCCGATACGAAAAGCAAAGAATACCGCAGAAGCGCTTCCAAAGAAATCCGCATTAATTTTTTGCCAGCTATTCGCACCAAGTTGACAGAGACGGGATCCCCCCCCCCCCCCCCCCCCCCCCCCC